TTTAAACTTGAGTTAAAATTTTACTCTGTCTTCTGTTAAGTATGTTGCTGCATAGAAAGACGCCTGCAACTTGAAACTTAAAGATAAAGCAACTTGAAACTTGTAACTTCGAAATGGATCAAGGTTACAGTATTAGTGCAGTCATACTTGGGCTATTTGGTAGATCTAAGATCAAAACCTATACATTCTCGAATGGGCTAGTAGCAAGCACTTCTTTTAAAGATATATCTGATCAAATGACAGTTACATTAGTAACGAAACAGTTTCTACTAATTACCTGTGGAAACTTGTGAAAATTTTGTGCATGTTGCTTTATGAAATAGTTAGACTATGCTTAAATGGTTGCTTTGACATTTTAATGTCAAAACATTTCTAGGCTATGCACACTTTCTTTTGACAGCACCACCTCTCCTCACCAGGAGATGAAAGATGTGTGTGCTATAGGAAGGACCACGGGGCTTGAAAGTGCCAACACTGTTATGTCACGACAGCGTATTTGTTTTGGCAGTACACAATCAGCATCATGTCTCCTGAAAGTTTATATCATTTAGAAGGGAGGTTTTTATTCAGAGAACAGGACAGCTAAGGTTTCTCTCTTCCAGGATTTTGTGGAAAGGTGTCTAGATTAATGGTAGCTTGTCTGACCGTAACCCAGCTCTGTCCTGACAAATGATCTGTGTGAACCTTTACTCATTCTAATCCTCTTTATGAAAATATCTTCCAATTGATGGCAGCATTGCTGACCACTTATAACTACACAAACAAAACTCACAAAAGGCCTCCATGGAAACATGCACACATTTTTAAGTAATGAGGTATTCTACATTTCACTTACAGTGTTACCCCTATAGCCTGCCAGAAGCATATTGAAACGAGTCTGATTGAAATCCTCGAGCTGACTCTGTTGAGCACTCATTGTGAAAATAGGCTGGGAAACAAAAGAACATACACTTGTCACATTTACTTCACATCAGGTGATACATACACAGTACAGCATCCTGTGCATTACAGCCCAAGACAATTATGGCACTCAATTTAACAGAAGAAGGTTATAATCTCATTTCACTGAGATGCAAGCTACCTCCAGTTATCTTGTATTTACCATATGGACCTGTAGGCAGTTATCTGAGTGTATCTGATGTAGGAAAATTTATTGGGATTCCACTGACAGTAGATTATGGCTTTAACTCGAAAGTGAAGATAGTATTTTACATCAGTTATAAACTAAGGTGTTTTTAAACCCAAAAGGGACATTTTGTGGAAGCTTGCCTGTTACCTTGCATAAGGCAGGAGAATTCAATTCAATTCAATGAAGGGAAGAAAAATAGTACAGAAAATATAGTGCAAAAACCAGAGTTAGCTTTTAGTGTCTCTTCTTTTTTACCTGATAACCTCCTAGAGTTATTGTGATTGATACATCTAGAGGCTTGTTGGTGATGCCTGCAACAGATTTGATTAAAGACATGAAGAGCAGTGGGAACCAGACAATACAAATCAGCAAGACGATAATCATGCCACCCATTCCATACTTCACAACTTTCTTTTTCTTCTGGCCTCTTGGTTGGGGATATCTCTGCAAAAGCAAACAGCAACATGGTAATGTCCCTTCTATTAGAGGTACACTTCATATGATTTGATGGCTAAATATATAATGATCTTAAGGCTTCCCATCTTTTGTGTTAATTTGCTATCCATTGCCAGGCCAATTATTCTGAGATTTTTTTTAGCCAAATCTGCAAAGACACTTAATTTCTGGTGACAATAGAGGAAAGCAACAAATGAACCCATGCCAGATGTGTCCAGTGAGAGAAATACTGTGATTTTGATTCTTTACAACTCACAGGAACAAAATATAAAGTAATAGCAGCAACGGTGATACAACAATTTGTTCCAAAAATTGCTGTTGTGATTGACCCACTTTCTTGTATTTGTCCTTCCAAAAAGTTTTATCTCAAAGCTCATTAAGGCAGTTCCTTTCATAGATCTTGAAATGCTGCAAACAGTATATCAAAGCTGGGGGAGCGGGAAAACTGTTTGCCAGCAACTGACATACACAATCAGTAGGAGTGTCTGATATTGCAGTACCTCCACATTCACTTCATACCTCACTTACAGTATTTCCAAGAGTTGTTCACAGGCTTTATCCAATCTGTTTCTAGTGAATCCCACACCAACTGCATTTAAATATTGTTTATGCTTTTGTTGTTGTCCCTAGAATATTGACACTGTTGATGCAACATCCTTCCCTTAGTTTTTAAGACCAAAAGTGACTTTGCTTTTCTTCTCCTTTAAAAGCAGATCACATGGCATGTCTGTTCTGCCTTGCCCATAAGGCCCTCCCTCTGTTATTTGCCTCATGACTGAATACCTTAGTAGTTCACCATCCTGTAAAATGCCTTACCCTCACTGTAATTTATTTTGGTGTACTCTCTTAAAGGATTTAACTCTATGGTGTTTAGGAGTCTGTCTTTCCTGCATTGCATACTGCACGTGCAAAATAAAGATGCATTTTTTTGCACTGTACCTCAAACGCACGCCAGGAATTTGGCTTTCAGAAAATTGTTCTTGCTTTACAGTATGAATCCATAAAGCCCTATGAGAACATTAAATTTGTAATACAATGCTATATTTAAAACAAATTAGTTACTTTTCAAAAGCAGTAAATCAAGTAATTTGCCCTAGGCTACAGAATAGTGTTTTCATTAAAATATCATATCAAGATCGGCAGGGGTATATTATTTGTCTGTAAGAGATTAGTTCAGGCACTTTTAATGACATTACAGAACATCTCAGAGAGACTCTAACAGTTAAAGTACTTAGGCACCACTCAAAGTGTGAGAGAGACAGAGAGAACTAAAGTACCTTGAACAACACTCATAACGTCATGGGTACTTATTTTGCTACATGGCATTAGCACATACTTGCTAGCTTAGACATGGAAGTCTTCCCATGTCAGCTCTCTGCTACATATAATGCACTTGATCCTGTAGTGGTATAAAAAAACCATATTGAGATGGACAGTCAAAGTAGAACTGGATTATTATTTCTCTGACTCCTGAAGTTCTTTGGAGCTTCTTCCATTCATGGCAGTAGTGGGAGTCATAGAGAAAAAGCCTATATACAAGATTTGTGTGCTCTTTAGCTCTGAGTTAATCTAAGTGACACACTTGGAAAGTAACTGCCATTAAGAGACAGGATTATAATAAAAGGAGAAATACGTCAGTAACACTTAAAAATAAATCCATTTCAATGCAGATGTAGAATTTCTGACTGGTTTGGTCACTCTTAAAATAATGCTTAATTTCTATTTCAAATTGGCAAAATAAGCAAGCATATGGTTGCAATCTTTATAGTAGTTATAAGGAATCCAGAATTTGCAAGTTTAATTTGAACTGAAGCTTAAATGATTTAAAGAGACTGAAATTTCAGTCAGACAAATGGTGGGTTTATCTGGCCTACAGTTCAGTTCTGGATGTACAGGGACTATCCTGAGACAGAGGAGCCAGCTGAGTTCCCTCTACAGTTACATGAACCTGGTGTCCCTGGGACCTACACCATGGGGGCATGAACTCTTCCTTCTACTGACCTTTCTCTTCAGCTACAGTTTCCCTGCTAGTGCAAGTTACTTATCTAGCTGTGTGTGAGACTGTGTGAATACCAGGACTTTCAACCCCAGCCTTGAAATCCAGGCATGCAATTAAGCCAGAAGGCACATGCTTGTGGAGCTCACGATAATGGTGGAAAAATAAGTTAGGCGCAGAAGGGAAGCCATTTGAAATTTCACTCCAGCTGACTGCCAACTACCATAAACCGCAAAAGAGTCTGAATATTTCTGAACATAAGCACCAGGTATATCTTCTAACAAACTGGTTTTATGGTGGATTTCCCAATTATTTAGGGATTATTTCTCTAAATTTCCGCAGGGGGGAGAGGAGGCCTGGATTGCTCATATGGTGCTTCCTTACTTTTTCTGACTCTCGCCAACACTTCAGGATGAATATATGTGCGTAGATATCTTCAACACAGATCCAGCTGGAAAGACTGAGAGTGGTATCAGTCCAAACCCAGTCCATTACTGCTCTCAGCTCAGTCAAGAATGGAACTAGGCGGAACCTGAAGGAAGACCACAGCAAATAACTCATCAGAAACAGAGGGATCACACTGAACAAGCACAGCGCATGTATATATGATGAGAGGGAGAATTAAGACAATATTAAAAGAGCTTACTGAGAGATTTTGTAAATACAAATACAATCATATCCTGAAATTGCATGGCTAGTACTGATCTTTTGCTGTTGCTCATGTTCCTCTAGATCTCTCTGTCGGGCCATAAATATGCTTTTGCATCATTATGCCCAGTAATTGTGATTGAGTCATTGATGGAATAGTAAAAGGCTTTCCTTTGTCCCTAAATTCCTCTGACCTGGGAGTGGAAACCATGTTTTCCAAAGGTCAGTGGGAATTTGTTTTATACCGCCTTACTCCAAGAGGTGCATGGCACCTTTGCAGTGGGTGGGCAGTCCTCAGCTGTGTATGGAACTTGTCTTTTTAAATCTTAAGCAGCAGAAGAATGCGGGATAACAGGAAATCAACATGCATTTAACAGCTGTTCCAAGTGCATCATTCCCTTTACTAGTCCCACACTCTTCTGATCAGCCAGGTCACAAAGAGTATTTCATGTGAGGAAAGCTTTCCTCTGTAACTTTTCCTGCTGGAATAGAAGAAGCCGATACTGCAAATATTGTGAAAATGCTGAAATTATTCCAGTTTTTCTGTGGAATACATATATGCTTTGAACTGGCTTAATCACAAGATCACTGTAACAGTCTAAGTGGAGCGTGAAGTATGCCTCTGTAAGACCACTTTTCCCTCCAAGGTGACGCAATGCCTCTTCCTTGCACTAAACTCCTAACTCCTAAAGAGTTTCAAATGTGCAGTACTTCTCAAAGGAAACATTTTTTGGTGCATAGTTCTTATTTCTCAGGTGTACTGTCTTTCACTCGATTTCTTTCACCTGCTGAGGTAGAGCCTGTAGACCTGCTCCAAAGATCTCTTTGGGATTTGACACCGTACTAGTTTTTAGCACTGCAGAACTAATAACATTACCTGTTTTCTATCATAATGTGTAGCCCCTATCTCTGTTCACAGAGGTGATTTCTTAGAAATGTTAAAAATGTCTCTTCCATAGGGCCCTGAATGGGGAAGTGATGTATCAGGCTTCTGGGTTCAGAGTGGGAGATCGATTCTTCTGAAGTTTGCATTCCTGCATATGATTTTTTTTTTTCTTTTTTGTGGACTATAGGGAACATATGGCATATATAGAGTATGCAGTGCAAAATGTATTGTCTTATTTCCAGCAGTTTGTGAATGACCCCACCAACTCATGATAACAAGTCCTTATTACACAAAAGAAAGAAGGGCAGTAGGTCTACACTTACCCTTGAAATAAGAACAGGTTGACATAGTTATAACTTTTTGTGAGGAAGTTACCAAGAACACGAGTTGGATATCCGCAGCGTATCTGATATGCTGATAAGCCAAAATAAACACATTTCACAAAATACCAGAGCTGGGCAACTGTGTTCTGGCTAAATTTCCTGTAAAGGAAAAGACAGATAAAGGAAAAGATAAGCTTTGTATCTGTGTATGACCAAATGAGTTTGAAATGCCTTGTGCTTTTGGCAGTTTCCCTTTCCTGAGATCCTGTGAAAAGCCTGTGGTTTCTGACCCCATGGCAGGGTTAAAACAGTGTTTGAAAGACACTGAATGAGAAAGTCTATAAACAGCATCCATTGTCACCTCAGGGTCACAGGGGAGAGACTGGGAATAGGGTTCCCAAAGAGTGAGAGTCCAGGGCAGTGTCCTTTCCCTCTGGATGCTAGAGGTCCCTTTACACCCACACGGACTAGTCTTCCCTTGGCCCCCATGAATGCACATCACTCTGTGAGCCCTTGGGTGGGGCCTGAATATAGGCAGTTTTAATGGCTGTGTTCATGAGAGCACCTCATACAGGAATTTAGGATGGAGTGACCTCTGAAAATGTTTTTCACCCTCCCCTGATTAAGTCTTATTCTGACAAATGGTTGAGGAACCATTTTTTGAGTTGAGTTTTGAATATCTCTGAAGATGGAGATACCATAGCCTGTCTGAGGAGCCTACTCGTGTCTAACTACAGTCAAGAGTTTTTCCAAATTCTGGCCTCTTGACCTTTCTGAAGAGAGCTTAGCTTCTTCTCAATGTTCTCTTAAAAGGTAGCTGAAGACAGCTCTTCACTTCCTCATCTCCAGACTGAACTAACCCTCTTCCCTCAACGTCTTGTCACACGTCATTTGCTCCATCCCCCTGAGTATCTTGTTGAAAATGTGCCACTTCTGGCTGCTGTTCAGTAGCATGGTGGAACTGCAGGAGATGCCTCATGATGGACAGGATTTGTCAGCTAGCCATAATCCAGTATTTTCAATTAAACCCCACAAAAATCTTTTCGTTGAGAAATTTGCAGGTGTTTCTAAGACTCAGTCTGATTTAGAAGGAATACAGGAGGTTTCAGATGCAGATTTGAGGGTAACAACTTGATATAGATTTCACAAAGCACAGAAAAAGTCAAAATTATTTTACTTCATAAAAATTCTCATTGTGCAGTAGAAAAGAGATTATTTTAAAAATGCATTTATTTTTTCAAATTTGGGCACAACTGCTACTGCACTGAGGAAAAATAAAACATTTGTTTTTGAGATCAAGTGAGACCTTTCATTTTTTCTTTACACTATGCACCTATATTTTTTTTTTTGACCAGTAAAATAACTTGACTGTTAACTAAGTGTAATGTGCCCAGGTGACACACTCAATTTCACTGTACAGCCAATGGAGCGAGGTAAATACTTCAAGGCAATTTAAAGTATGAAGAGGGGAGTTAGCCAAGCACTTGGGAGGGAACCTTAAGACCTCTGCACTGCAGACTGAGGTGACAAGTGCCTTGAGCCGTGCAATAGATTTGGAGGTGAACCTGACCAGGCATGTGACACAAAATTTCACGCAGCAGGTGACCACCTCCACACAGCCTCCTGAACCAAGTGTCAGAAGCAAGGGAGGAGAATTTTGCTCTTCAGAAGGGACAAGGGTTTAAGACATTCCTCAGACTAAGGAAATTTAAATCCACCATTCACACATTCCAGGAATCTGCTAAATTATAAATTACTCTGAGGGAGACATTTTCTACTTGCTCTTCTGAAGCTGCATGCAGCAGTCTAGGGAGCAGGGAACTGGATCAGAGGCCAACACTGTCTCAGCTGAAAGCTCTCATCACTCAATTACAGGCAATTTCTCTTACACCTGCTTGCATTTTGGCCTAAGTTGAGAATATTTCTGTACATATATAATTAATTCTTCCTCAAAGTTATACTGGCCAAAGTCATTGCTTTGGAAAGGCACTCCAACATTCTGTTTATAAAAGAGACCAAGAAGAAACTTTTTCATGATTCCAAAGCCTAGCTATAAACATAACAAATTTAAATGCAAGCAACTCGGTATAGCATCAGTATTCAACCCATATTGTTTGTTTATAAAGGTTATACCTTTCTGTCACTCCAGGCAAGATAAAGAACATCCAGAAATGTATGCCGAAAACAAGGATGACCTGGAAGATAACCTTTCCCATGACAGTCTTTTTGAGGTACAGTGCTCGATCTACCACCATGGTACCAAACTGAATGAGTACCATCACCAAAAATGCTTCTGGGACCTGGTCCTCTGATAATGAAGAGGTGATATCTGCTGCAGCAGAGTGTTTCTGAAAAGGAAAATACAAGGGTGGTCAAGAAAGAAGGACACTCACACGATATTTAGTATCTACACCATGTAAATCCTGCTGAGGATTTACACAAAGATGCCTCTGTGACATACCCCAAAAGCCCAAAATCCAAACACAATGATGATGAAGTCCACTGTGTCTGCGAGGAACATCAGCACATACACATCAGTCACTGCACTGTAGTCTGGATGAATAAGATTGTAGAAAAACTGTCTGATGGGCACATACACCTGGAGAGTCCTAAAACAATACAAACCACAATGTGATTTAATAACATGTAACTTGCCCTGAAGAAAATAAAGGCTGAGTGTGCTATAATTAATATTTTTAAAGATATCTAAAATCTACTCTGACAGCCTTCACAGGACTTCACAGACACCAGTTCTGATTGCTTCTAAACCACTGTATTAGAATTTGCTCAGTAGAAATGTACATAGCCAACTAAGTTCACATGGGATATTTAGCTTTTTTTAATCAGGCAGATGCTATTTGAACAGCTGCTGATTTGTCTGATGTTCAGCTGCTGGGACATCTGCACACAATGAACACTTAGCAGTAGTAACCTTCTCTATTAAAAATGCCGGTTTACTGCTTTACTCATTGGAACCTCGCCCCAAACCCACACCACTCCTCACATTGCTCACTTTTTAATTGTAAAGGCCTTGGCTTTGATCATTTGTTCTCGAAACTTTTCCATAAGGAGCTCTTTTCTAGATTTTTGCTTGATGCTTAACACGCTGCTTCCTTTCTGACTGCTGTTCCGTGTACTGGTACTTCCTGGGGAAAAAAAACAGAAAGGGAAAGAAAAGCCAATTCAAAATAAAAGTTTAAATACAAAAACTAGAAGGTAATAAATCTTGAGACTTCTATTCCATATACAAGTCTCACATTTGAAAGAAGCTTTGAGTTGAATTCTTTTTTTCCCCAATATGACAAAATCCTGTGAACATCCAGTAAAGGTTTCATCACTGGCATATCAAAACTTGATTAATAAGTATAAAATGAGAAGACTAGTGATAAAGGCAAGTATTTTATTAATCTGATTGAGTCACCTCAATTGGTAATATATATATTTAGGCTAGAATAACCCTGCCCTTTTTACAAGATAAGACAGGTAATCTGTTTCAATACACCTAATAAAAACTTTTCTGAGTTCAGGTATCATCAAACGTAGATATGAAAAATACATATGTTTTGCATTCCCTCTAGCTAGAGGTTATGCTGAACCAGAATTTCTGGATCTGGGCCACACTGAGCATTCCTTTCCTAGCTTTTGGATAATGTAATTTTAAAAACATAATAAATCACAAAGTATGGCTCTCCATTTGAACTTTAAGAAGGCTTGGAGTGCATTCAAACATGAAGATATGTTGGTTCATATCCTATTTCATCACTGAGAAGCAGCAGCATTCAGTAGCCCCTGGGAGCTCTGCAGCAACCAGCACAAAGTTTCAGCAGAATGATTCTATGGGAAATGAATGTTTGCTCTTCAAATCCCAGAAATGCCATGACATTTACCTCTCTTAGACCTGTGTGAGGAGAAGCTGGACCTGTGTGAAAGCTGTGATATGCTGCTAGAGCTCTTCCTCCTGATGGCAGTCTGTTGCTCGGGGAAGTGGACATGGATGGACTCCACTGACGCCGCAAGATTGACAGATTTCAATGAGACAGAAGAGTCTCTCCTGCCTCCTGCCAGAGAGAGCTCATCATCGGTGTCCTCTTTATTACTGGAGCTGTCTCCTTTCTCATCTTCATCCCACAGTCCATGGCACTAGTGGAAAAAGACAGCATATCAACCTTGTGTTTCTGACACATGCCTGTATTTTTTACAGGCATTGCTAAACTCAGTCTCACATTCACCATGGGGAAGACAAATTCATCGTGTTGGGTATCATAGAATGACTTGGGTTGCAAAAGATCTTTCAGATCATCAGTTCAACTGTTAACCCAGCACTGCCAAGTCCACCACCATGTCCCTTCAGTGCCACATCTACATGTCTTTTAAACACCTCCAGAGATGGTGACTCAACCACTTCCCTGGGCAGCCAAGTTAAATGTTTAATAACTCTTTCAGTGAAGAAATTTTTCCTGATATCCAAATGAATGACTTTCCAAATGAATGAGAAGTGACTTTAAAAGTTAAAACTAAAAATTATATATAAAATAAGAAACCACATGAACCCAGATTACCTTTAAAATGGATCTGTGGAAGAATAAAGCAAGAAGCTGAACAAGATCATAGTGCACGTAACCCTCTTTCTTCTCAATGCCAATAATATTGGGTGGATGGTAAGGTTTATCTTTCGTGTAATCTACATGTTTATTCCAAGGAAAGAAGCCAAACTGGAAGAAGTACTTGATGACAATGGCCACCTGTTCAGAAACAAAACACACTTGGAGTGTTTTATAAGCATGTCAGACATAATAAGCCTTGGGACATTAAGAGGGGAGAAATATGACTACTCTGTCAGTTTTATGAGAAGATAAACAAGCATATTAATTGCCAAAGAGCAATAACACTTCACATTTCTTCAGTAATAAAGTCAATCAACATTCTCCAACAGATGATGCTCATTGTGGTACTTGAGATACCACAAGCAGCGAATACTGTCTCTTGATTAACAATTACACAGTAACTGCTTGCAAATGGTCTGTTCTTGTGATAACTGCATAATGCGCCAGGAAGGATATTGCTCATTGCAATGAAAAACAAGATCTTTCCATACCACAGAAGTTGCCGGGGATGATAACAAATATTTATATTAATATGAAGGGCCAGAGGCCCTTGATCCTAGAGATCAAAACCAGAAAAGAGACCATGCAAGACTTAAAATTACCTTTTCCTTGTTAGACATGGGGTTGCAAAAACAGCATCATACCTCAGTGTAGACAATGGCTGTCATCCAGAAACGTTTGCTTGGCCGAGGAACAGACAGCATGGCCCACAGGAATATAAGGATGGGAAGCACCAGGGTTATCATGGAGGCAGAGATCATGTGGTTAAGGATGATCACAAAATAGCACACCATTTCTGACCGGGCCACCAGTGTATTGTACAGAGCATAAATAAGGAGCAAGACTCGAGGCTGACCAACATAGAACTTCTCTGACTCCTCCAGTTCGTCATCATGAAACATCCTGTGAAGAGCAGAGTACAGTAAATGAAATGAAAACGAACCTTGCAACAGCTGCTTTTCAAATTGCTACATTTTTCCTTTTGAAAAATATTAAATTCTGCTGCTAAGTTCAACAGAGGGAAAAAAATGAAAAAGCAATTTAGTATTATAAACAGATAGCCTGATTCTAAGCTCAGAAAAAAGGAATTTCTGGCAAAATAACTAAAAACACTGTTCTTCAGGTTTTGAATTTACCCAGGGAGTCAGCCTGGCTTAAGAACTTCCACAAACATCACTTTCCTACAGCTGCTCAACCAACATATCTCAGGTAAATCACACCATACTGGTGTGGATTCATATCTGATTTATCAACACAGATAGGAATTTGGAGAGAAAACAGAGGTACGTCATGAGACCTACGTTATGAATAGTCCTGGGACATAAGACTAGAATATAATATATGTCCTTGAGCATTAGATGTGTCCAATCTTTACAAGACTTAAGTAAATATAAAACGTAGTGACTTTCATACATATTCATAATTCTCTCTTCTTTTTATTAAGAGTGTCTTGGTCTGAGTATAGATCTTACTACAAAGCAAAAATTACTAAGGAAAATCAGAAGACAAGACACTGCATCTGGCAAAGTCAGATTTACGCATCCTCTCTCTCTCCAGATGTAGTTAGGCTGAAAGACATTTCTGTGGTTTAAGATTTTGTCCCTGCATTTGGGGAAGCTCTCCCCAGCTGATTCAGGCCAGAAAGCAGATGAAGAAGTGCAGTGGCACCATCCCCAACTCAGTGCTGGTTGTGTTACTGATCACAGTGTCTAAGGGGCAAAGAGAGGAACTTATGAAAGTACTTAGCAAGATGGTCTCTCTACACAGTCCTCAGCTCCTCCTGGCTTTAACAGAAACTGCCGTAGGCCAGTTTACCTTAGAGTAATAAAAAATAATTAAAGGAGAAACTTTTTCCCGGATAGTCCTGGAAGAAACTCATTTGAAATCACAGGCGCCTGGAGAAGAGAAGCCTTCTGCACAAGGAATACTTAGAAAAGCCCTTGACCCCATGATAACTGCAGCACAGAAATTCAATGCTAACTGGAACAATTAAATATGGTATCTAGGGAGAAAGCAGAGATTAATTCTAAGATGAATTTGAATAATTTTAGAAATCAGTATTTAGAACAGCTGCACAGGAAATGAGCTTCTTCCCTTAAACTAAACTTAGCACGTGGTCTGTATCAGAAACTGTGAGCTAGTTCTGAGACAAACCCCCCAAAGTAATGACAAAACTTTACACATTGTGCCCAACAATCTTTCCTTTTCCTTACTTGTTCAGAAGCAGCTCGCTAGCTGTTAGCTCATGCGTCAGTGGGGGGAGAATGGTATCAAGTTTGTCCGTCCGGCTGTCGTCTGGGCTCACCATCATGAGACTCTTACCAGCTGAGTCATCTGGGGACCCAAAGGGAAGATGTTCAAAGCTGACAGCTTTGCTATAGGAAGGCGGAGCTTCTGCATTGCTATCCACTGTGGAGTACAATGGCACATCGGTATCAGGAGTGTATGCAGCTCCTTCTGAATCCAGGCTATAATCTTCCACCTCTTCTTCCTCCAACCTTGATGCAGAATGAGCTCCTTCCTCTTCATGCTCTCCTTCTACCTCCTCAATGGTTTCTGTTGTTCCCTGACGAGAATAGACCATGGTGACCTGTGTAGGTTCACTGTCGGAGATGGATGAAGAGAGTGAGCTGCGGTTTACAAGA